AGACAGAAAGAGAAATAAGATCACATACAAAGGAAAACCCATCAGCCTATCATCAGAATTCTCAGCAGAAACCTTACAGGCCAGAGGGAGTGGCATGATATATTTAATGCAAAGAAGCAGAAGGGCCTTGAACCAAGAATACTTTATCCAGAAAGATTATCATTTTATTTGAAGGAGGGATTAAACAATTTCCAGATAAGCAAAAGCTGAGAGAATTTAGTTCCCACAAACCATCTCTACAATGTATTTTGGAGGGACTGCTATAGATGGAAGTGTTTCTAATGTTAAATAGCTGTCACCAAAGGTAATAAAAAGGGATAGACAAAGGGTACAGAATATGATATCTAGTATATAAAGAGTGGAGGAGGAAGAAAAGGAGGGAAAAAAAACACCTTTAGATTGTATTTGTAATAGCATACTAAGTGAGTTAAGTTAAGACTCTTAGATAATAAGGAAGTTACCCTTGAACCATTGGTAACCACGAATCTAAACCCTGCAATGGCAACAAATATATACCTATCGATAATCACCCTAAATGTAAATGGTCTGAATGTACTAATCAAAAGACATAGAGTCACTGAATGGATAAAAAAACAATATTAAGCTATATGCTGCCTACAAGAGACTCACTTCAAAATCAAAGATATACACAGACTGAAAGTCAAGGGATGGAAAAAAGATATTTCATGCAAACAAAGGGGAGAAAAAAGTAGGAGTTGCAGTACTTGTATCAGACAAAATAGACTTCAAAACAAAGAAAGTCACAAGAGACAAAGAAGGACATTATATAATGATAAAGGGATCAGTCCAACAACAGGATATATCCATTATAAATATCTATGCACCCAACACAGGAGCACATATGTAAAACAAATACTAACAGAATTAGGAGGGAAAACAGAATGTAATGCATTCATTCTAGATTTCAACACTCCACTCACTCCAAAGGCAGATCAACCAGACAGTAAATAAGTAAGGAGACAGAGGCGTTGAACAACACATTAGAACAGATGGACCTAACAGTCATCTACAGAACTCTCCACCCTAAAGCAGCAGGATATGCATTCTTCTCAAGTGCACATGGAACATTTTCCAGAATAGACCACATACTAGGCCACAAAAAGAGCCTCAGTAAATTCAAAAAGATTAAAATTGTACCAACCAAATTCCCAGATCACAAAGGTATAAAAGTAGAAATAAATTGTACAAAGAAAACAAAAAGGCTCACAAACACATGGAGGCTTAACAACATGCTCCTAAATAATCAATGGATCAATGACCAAATTAAAACAGAGATCAAACAATATATGGAGACAAATGAAAACAATAGCACAATGCCCCAACTTCTGTGGGATGCAGTGAAGGTAGTTCTAAGAGGGAAGTATATAGCAATCCAGGCCTATTTAAAGAAGGAAGAATAATCCCACAATTATTGAAACTGGGAAAAGAATAACAAATGAGGCCCAAAGTCAGCAGAAGGAGGGACATAATAAAGATCAGAGAAGAAATAAATAAAATTGAGAAAAATAAAACAATAGAAAAAAATCAATGAAACCAAGAACTGGTTCTTTGAGAAAATAAACAACATAGGTAAATCCCTCGCCAGACTTATTAAGAAAAAAAAAATCTACACACATAAATAGAATCAGAAAGGAGAAAGGAAAAATCATGATGGACACCATATGCATACAAATAATTATTAGAGAATACTATGAAACCTTTATGCTAACAAACTGTATAACCTAGAAGAAATGGACAACTTTCTAAAAAAAAATACAACCTTCCAAGACTGACCCAGGAAGAAATAGGAAATCTAAACAGACCAGTTACCAGCAATGAAATTGAATCAGTAATCAAAAAACTACCCAAGAACAAAACCCCCATACCAGAAGGCTTCACCACTGAAATTTACCAGACATTTAGAGAAGACATAAGATCCATTCTCCTTAAAGTTTTCCAAAAAATAGAAGAGGAGGAAATACTCCCAAACTCATTCTATGCAGCCAACATCACCCTAATACCAAAACCAGGCAAAGACCCCACAAAAAAAGAAAACTACATACCAATATCCCTGATGAACATAGATGCAGAAATACTCAACAAAATATTAGCAAACCGAATTCAAAAATACATCAAAAGGATCATACACCATGACCAAGTGGGACTCATCCCAGGGATGCAAGGATGGTACAACATTCAAAAATACATCAACATCATCCACCACATCAACAAAAAGAACGACAAAAACCACAAGATCATCTCCATAGATGCTGAAAAAGCATTTGACAAAATTCAACATCCATTCATGATAAAAACTCTCAACAAAATGGGTATAGAGGGCAAGTACCTCAACATAATAAAGGCCATATATGATAAACCCACAGCCAACATCATACTGAAGAGCAAGAAGCTGAAAACTTTTCCTCTAAGATTGGGAACAAGGATTCCCCCTATCCCTGCTTTTATTCAACATAGAACTGGAGGTCCTAGCCATGGCAATCAGACAACACAAAGACATAAAAGGCATCCAGATTGGTAAGGAAGAACTCAAACTGTCACTGTTTGCAGATGCCATGATATTGTACATAAAAACCCTTAAGTATCCACTCTTTAAACTACTAGAACTAATATCTGAATTCAGCAAAGTTGCAGGATACAAAATTAATACACAGAAATATGTTGCATTCCTTCCTATACACTAATGATCAACTAGCAGAAAGAGAAATCGGGAAAACAATTCCCTTCACAATTGCATCAAAAAGAATAAAATACCTAGGAATAAACCTAACCAAGGAATGAAAGACCTATACCCTGAAAAGTATAAGACACTCCTAAAAGAAATTAAAGAGGATACTAATAAATGGAAATTCATCCCATGCTCTTGGGTAGGAAGAAATAATATTGTTAAAATGGCCATCCTGCCTAAAGCAATCAACAGATTCAATGCAATCCCTATCAAAATACTGACAACATTCTTCAACAAACTGGAACAAATAGTTCTAAAATTCATATGGAACCACAAAAGACCCTGAAAAGTAGTCCTGAGAATAAAGCAGGGGGAATCTTGCTTCCCAACTTCAAGGTCTACTATAAAGCCACAGTAATCAAGACAATTTGGTACTGGCACAAGAACAGACCCACAGACCTGTGGAACAGAATAGAGAGTCTAGATATTAACCCAAGCATATATGGTCAACTAATATACAATAAAGGATCCATGGATATGCAATGGGAAAACGACAACTTCTTCAACAGCTGGTGTTGGCTAAATTGGACAGCTACATGTAAGAGAATGAAACTGGATTACACTCTAACTCCATACACAAAAGTAAACTCGAAATGGATCAAACACCTGAATGTAAGTCATGAAACCATAAAACTCTTAGAAGAAAATATCAGCAAAACTCTCTTGAATATAAACATGAACAACTTTTTCATGAACATATCTCCACGGGCAAGGGAAACAAAAGCAAAAATGAACAATTGGGACTATATCAAACTAAAAAGCTTCTGTACAGCAATGGACACCATCAGTAGAACAAAAAGACATCCTACAGTATGTGAGAATGTATTCATAAATGACATATCCAATAAGGGGTTGACATCCAAAATATACAAAGAGCTCATGCACCCCAACAAACAAAAAGTAAATAACCCAATTTAAAAATGGGCAGAGGATCTGAACAGACACTTCTCCAAAGAAGAAATTCAGATGGCCAACAGACACATGAAAAGATACTCCACATCACTAATCATCAGAGGAATGCAAATTAAAACCACAATGAGATATCACTTCACACCAGTTAGGATGGCCAACATCCAAAAGACAAACAACAACAAATGTTGGTGAGGAGTGGAGAAAGGGGAACCCTCCTACACTGCTAGTGGGAATGTAAATTAGTTCAACCTTTGTGGAAAGCAATACTGAGTTTCCTCAAAAAACTCAAAATAGAAATACTATTTGACCCAGGAATTCCACTCCTAGGAATTTACCCAAAGAATGCAGGATCCTAGTTTGAAAAAGACATATCCACCCCTATGTTTATTGCAGTACTATTTACAATAGCCAAGAAATGGAAACAACCTAAGTGTCCATCAGTAGATGAATTGATAAAGAAGATGTGGTACATATACACAATGGAATATTATTCAGCCATAAGAAGAAAACAAAATCTACCATTTGCAACAACATGGATGGAGCTAGAGGGTATTATGCTCAGTGAAATAAGCCAGGCAGAGAAAGATTCATTTATGAATCAAATGATTTCACTCATCTGTGGAGTATAAGAACAAAGAAAAAACTGAAGGAACAAAACAGCAGCAGACTCACAGAACCCAAGAATGAACTAACAGTAACCATAGGAAAGGAACTGGGGAGGATGGGTGGGAAGGGAGGGACAAGGGGGGAAAAAGGGGCATTATAATTAGCACACATAATGTGGGTGTGGGGCACGAGGAAGGCAGCTTAGCAACCACAGTGTTGTTCACGTAAGTGTATATTAATGATACCCCAAAAAATAAAAATAAAAATAATGTTTCTATAGCATCTTCAGTACTCATTCCTTGGAGAGAACTAACCCTCTTCTATGGTGTGAGGGCACACTTCATTGTTATTATGTTACTATCACTATATGTTTTAAGGTATTTTGATATACCTTTAACTCTTTAAAAATTTTATATTTGGGATACCAGTGTGTGGGCAGAGAGGATCAGCCTGACAGGCTGTCGTAGAGTTCCCAGGATGCCTTAGGTTGGTGATGGGCCGGGCCCTTCCCTGAGGCCCCAGGGTGTCAGCCTTGACTTCCTGCAGCTGAACAGTGGTTAGAAGCAGAAGCTGAGTGGCAGGGACCCGAGGTGGTGTTAGAGGTTTGAACAAAAGAATTTTTGCTTTGTTTTGTTGGATTTAAGTTCTAAATGAGGATTTTAGTATTTCTTTAGGAAAGGACAAAATGGAAACATACAAAATCCGGTAAATTGGTGAAATGATGATTTATAAATAAGAAATAGTCAGGAAGTCAGGAATCCAAGTGAAGATTCTAAGCTGCTTATGCTTGCCTTGGGCTTGTATAGTAGGGTCTCTCATAAAACTATACATTCTTGATTATGCCTTTTTCACCTTGTTTTAAGTATAATTCTTTGTGAAAACTTTAAACTGATTTCCTTGGGCTTTGGGGAAACAAGAGAAAGGACTTCCTGCTCTGGGATTAGTAGTTTAAAGAAGGGACAGTGAATTTGGGGTGACCACACCTAGAAGGCACTCTGGGAATCATGAAACAGTCTCCTGGGGTGGGTATGAAACAGCAGAGGGCATGATGCCAGTCGGCCCCTGTGACTGCCACGTTCCACCCAGGGCCCTGGCCTGTCAAACTGCAAAAGCACTTCAGCTGGTTAAGAAATGTCTCATCTTACAGCATTAAAGGATATTTACTGGGAGTGTTTTTTATGAAAGTAAATATGCTTTCTTCAAAAATACTGAAATATGATTTAACCTACTGATAAAGGGATTTTTGCTTCTAGTGTCTTAGGAGGCCTGATTTACCTCAAATGACAAAATGTACTGACAATGGCTCACAATGGCACAGTTTCTCCTATTAGTTGGAATTAGTCAAATCATTGTTGAGGATCCATCTCAACCTACCTTGAGAAATCTCTTCTCCCTCCTTTATTATTGCTGTTGAACCCTAAGGGGAATGCTTTTCTATTTCACCACTGCATCAGCTTCCAATTAGTGTTGCTGTCCCTCCCCCTGCCCATCCCCTGGTTTCTACACTATTAGTACTTAGCAGGGTTGAGCTTTTCTTCAGCACTTCTGTGTACAAGAAACCTCAATTCACCATGAGAAGCTTAATAATATTAAAATTGTGCTCTGAGAGCACTTTTCATTTTCCAGATGCGTAATGCTGCCCATCAGGGTGCTCATAGATGAAGATGAGGAAGCTTTTAAAGCCCATTAGCTTTCCAATTCCATTTTCCCTTCTTTCTTGGATTCACATCGTTTTTACACTGTTTTCTTCTGGGAATGGCACCAGTAACAGGGGAATCGGCTCTTAGATGAGTTCCTGAAATTAAGGCCATTAGAAAGATTTTTCTCTTAAGTCCACCTTGATCTCAGGTCCAACTATTTACAGAAATCTCAATTTAGGCTTTCCTTGATTGATACAATTCCTATCAATTTTTAGTTAGAAATTTGACACCTTATCTAGTCATTGAGTCATGTAAGTTATATTAGAAAACACTGAGAATAAAATTTTGTGTTTGTGTCTTGCAGAAGTTAAAATTATAGGACACAGCATTTAAGAATATCATAATGAAGGACATAGGTTTATATTTTAATTATAACTAAAATTTTAAAAATCTGAATCAAATAATTTGTTGTGATTTCCACATGTCCTTCACTCTTATATCATGCTACTGCTTGTGTACAGAGGTCATATAGTCATGCCAAATAGCTGACAGATGTTAGGTTAAGTGTTAGAATAGGAAGGTATTCTATTGCCCTTGGAAAATGAACTACATCTAACTTATACTATGGTGTCTCTAACATGTGTGAAGAACTTTAGATTTTTTGGAAGATGTGTTTTTTTAAAAAATATATATATACTAGTTAATTCAAACCAAGGGATAAAATGAAAAACTTTAGGAAGGAGCTGTCTATTTATCTTATAATGCCAAGACTTCTCTCCTTTTTTTAACCTAGAGTTTTCCTGCCTTTTTGATGTATTCTGCTTCTGTACCATAACAGTAAGAGCACCAATGTGAGAATCAGCCAATTTTGATTTTCATACAGACCATCCTTATGATTTTGGTAAGTTATGTAATCTCTGAGTTGGGATCTTCTCACCAGGGGATTTGCAGTGATCATATTCATCTCATAGTTGCACTGTAAGTATAACATAGAGGAATATTTAAAGCATGTATTAATAGGTAGCTGTTCTTATTATATTTATTGCCTAAAATATTGTACTTGTTTTAAAATATTTATAGACTTGAATTACAGACCTTTGACACCATTCAATTTTCTCACTTTATAGTAAGTAAATATTACTAAGTTAATTTAGTAACTGGTATCACCAAAACTGTTCTGAAATATTTTGTTCCTAAGGTACCACAAATTTACACTACAAGTACCACAATTTATACTAATTTACAGGTTGCATCCCTAACAGATCCATACAAATCACATCCCAAATGCTTATTCAGTATATTCCATTAGTACAAATTGTGGTTAATATTTAGGATAGGCCACATGAAACTATATCACTCATAAAATAGCTGAAATCATATGAATTTATCTATATGGACCAACACTCTTAATCAGCAGAGCACTGGGTTACTCTGAGCATGAGTCCCTTTGCGGCTCAGCTAAACCCTGCTGATCAGTGTAATTCCATGGGCTCTACTGTCCTCCTCGAGCCTGTGAGTGCATTAAAGGGCTACAGAGAAAATGTGAGGAGAGAACAGAGAACAACAACATAATTTCCACAAAACACCAACAGAAAGAAATGAGGAAGGATCTGAGCAAAAGTAGCACTAATTAGAGAGAATTATATTTTACACTCATGTTTAATGGAATATTATCCCACCTTAAAAAGCAAAGAAATCTTAACACATGCTACAATGTGGATGAATATATACTGCTCCGTGAACTATGCTGGTCACAAAAAGACAAATACTTACAGTATGGAGTCCCCAGAGTAGTCAAATTCATAGAGACAGACAGTAGAACGGTGGTTGCCAGGGTCTGTGGGGAGAGGGAGGGGGTTGTTTAATGGGTATGGAGTTTGTTTCACAAAATGAAGAGTCAGGAGATGTTATACAACATGCATGTACTTAACACTACTGTACTGTAAACTTAATGGTTAAGGTGGCAAACTTTATGTTATTTGTATATTACCACAGTTTTTAAAAAATGAATTATAGTATTCTGGAAACCACAGGTATGGGAACAATGTTTTTTGTTAGTTTTTTAATATCTGTTCCTCTAAAGTGATAGAGGTATATGTAACACCATATAGCAAGGAAAGAACCAGATAATGTGATAGTTCTGCTCAAAAGTGTCCAGGGAGACTATATTATAAACAGGTCATATATTTTGGTTATCAGCACCCTTTGAGACCCCTGAAATTATTAAATGTTCCTTTGGCTGGGTTTGGGATTTACTCCTTAAGGCTTTCTAATAAATAAGTATATTAGTTTGCTAGGGCTGCTGAAACAAAATACCACAAACTGGGTGACTTTAAAAGCAGAATTTATTGTCTCACAGTTATGGAAGCTAGAAGTCTGAAATTAAAGTGTGGGCAGGCTTCTGTTTGTCTGCTGGCCATCTTTGGCCTTTATCATCTTCATATGGCATCTCCCTGTGTGTGTGCGTGTCTGGGTACAAATTTCCCCTTCTTATAAGAGCATCAGTCATTTTATGTTAGGGATCGACCCAATCCAGTATGACCTCATCTTAACTAATACACCTGCAGTGACCCTGTGTTCAAATAAGGTCTCATCCTGAAGTACTGAAGGTTAAGACTTCAACATATGCATTTTGGAAAGACAAAATTCAACCCGTAATGTAAGCAATGCACACAAAGAGATGAGAAAGCTTCAGGAAACTACTTAAGTCCTAGGGCCTATGTAATTTTCAAAAAGTTGGTGAAGTAAAGCATTTAATACAGTAAAAACTTATTCCCAACAAAGCATATAAAATGCTAGAAAATTATTTCCAAAATTTCACTAGCTAAACACAATACATAGGCTGTTCCTTGTGTCATTAGATGACACCACACACATACTTTTAAAGTTGGGTTGTGTACAAATGGGATTGTTTAGAAGTCTATCTGAAAAGTAAATCCACCATCCAGATACAACACCACACACACACACACACACACACACACACACACACACACACACATTCCATAGAATAAAATAATTGTCCATTCACCATCCTAGAAAAACTGTGGGAAATGTATTCTCTGGAGTTGATAAAACAGAGGGATGAGAATCAGGAAAGGTTAAAAGCACAGTTAGAGGTGAAGATAAAAGAAAAAAAGTGGTTTGTTAAGTAAAATTTTGTATTTCAATTTTTGAGATCTTAGCTTTTTTCTCCATTGGAATCCCATACTCTGGAAGCCAGGGTTATTACCCCCAAGCAGGAGATTAGAAGATACCTGCTTTAGATCGAATTCCCTGGGAACAGACTCTGAGACAGATTCTCATGCAGAGATGTACTGAGGAGTGCAATCATGAGATACAACTATAAGAAAGTGGAGAAGATAGAGTTAGACAGAGATAAAAGGCAATCCTTAATATGGTTGCTACTGAGGCCTCAACCAATCTTAGGGGTAGTTCTGTTGCTGGGATGTCCCTTCAGAAATTCTCCACACTAAGAAAAGTGGTCAGACATTTGTGTTTATTCAACAGCCAGTCTTTATCAAGATGTCCCTCCTGAGATGGAGCATAACCTTGGATGAGGTAGTTCCCTGTGGCATAAGGCAATTCCAGTGAATTCTGAAGCTATGAGCTCTTAGTAGCTGATATACCCAACAGCTGAGGGTTGGGTGCATTGGCCCTGAAGAGAAGATGCATGACAGCATCCAATACAGTATTTACATACCAGCTCAAAACCAAAAGCAAACCCAGTCACATCACTTTAGTGGTGACTCGCAGACACCAAAACCTCCAGCAGGCATTCAGCTTCAGTCAGCTTTTTAGTGCTGTATTTTTCAATACCAGTGGACAGCCAAGAACCACCAAACATTTAAGAACATTTTCTAATTTTAAAGAAGCCAAATGAACAAATTTTAAAAGTATGGCATAGAGATAAGACAGAGGGGGAGAAAGGTTAAAAAAAAGCAAAGACTAAAATTAGTATCATAAGAAAATGCATATTTTCTTATGCATATGCATAACAAAATTAGCATGAGAGAAGCAAAGACATCATATCCATGAAACATGACTCTTCAGAGAAAAAAAAATTCCTGAAATAATATGTAACAGATCATTTAAGAAATTTTTTAATTCTGTAGAAAGTTTAAAAAATAAGATTAAGAATGCCTTACAGAAAATAGGGAAAACAGTGAAATAGATGAAATAGTAATAAGATAATATGACAACTGTAGGATATCAGATATTTAGACTTTTAGAAAAAGGGAAAGAGAAAATAGAAGGGAGGAAATAAGTTAAGAAAATTTCTGAGAACAGAAAGATATACAGTTGCAGATGGAAGGACCCACCAAGTGCCCAGCACAATATATAAAATTGGAGTGAAATTGTAGAAAAACAAGCTTCCAAAGAGAAAAGAAAAATGATTTTTATGAAAAGGAAGAAAAAGTATTTTTTTAAATTAGGAGAGATTTCTCAACAACAATACTGGAAGATTGGAGATAATAGATTAATGTCTTCAAATTTCTTGAAGTTTATGTTTAAACTAAGATTTCATACCCAGAACAATTATCAATTAAGTATTCTGATGGAATAAATAGCAAGCTCTCAAAAGGTTACCTCATGTGTTTTCTACTTGAAAGGCTAAGAAAGGACGTGGCACACCATACCAAGGGAATAAAGAGAAAAAGAAGACATGGAATCCAGGAAACAAGAAACCTGTGACAGGAGGGGAGGTTAAGGTAATCACCAGGAGATCTTATGACAGCACTGTAGTAAGGCTAAGAAAAACCCAGACTAAAGCCCGTCAGAAAGCTCTCAGAGAAACTTACTAAAGATAAAATTGATAAAATACCTAAGGTGTTTGGACATACTTGAGAGCAGATTTATATAACTAAAGGAGAGCCTAAGGTTAAATAAGTAATAAATACATAAAAGAGTTAACAAAAAAGCAAACAATAATTTCAGTAAAAATAAAACATATAAAAAAGGAAAAATGATCACTATATATTAAAAAGTACAGCTTTCAAAAGCATTTACACAGTCATACTAAAAAAATTATGATAAACTAAAGCTTTAGGAACTCTCCTCAGAGTGAAAATGAGAAAGTTTATGCTTCATCTTACATTTTCAATAGTCAGTGGAGAACTAAAACTGAAAATCAAGAAGTATATTATTTTGACATATGGAGATGCATAACAAAATTAGATAAAAATAATTAAAAGTTGTGCCTTCATGGGGTTGAAAATAGTGGTGGTATGTACAAGAGACTTTTTTTGCTTGATTTGATTTGAACAAACTATTTGATTATTTAAAATACATATAGCTTATAAAAACAATAGGATTTTCAAAAAACATACTAGAATATCAATAGCACGATTGACCTCTGTCAAAACAATAACCCTTTTACTAAACTAAAGTAATTCTTACTTTATATTTTGGAAGATAAATTTTTCCACCAATTTGGGGAGCCAATGGTTTGGTGCCACCCAGTTGACTTAAATCTAGCAAATTATCTTTATATAAAGAAGACAGGAAACAGTTACCAACTGAAATATCCTGAGAAACTTGAAATGCTCAAGAACATGTATCATAGATCATGCCTGTCAAATTAAGAAAATTCAGTCAACATACCTAATATTGTTTAATTCCCATGACAAATGTTTCCATCACATAGGAAGGAAGAGGGGAAAAAAAGAAATAATGGTTAAGCCTTGACCTGTGAACAGTGATAAGTTTTTTGCCTCCATAAATTGATAATTACAAACATTGAGGTTTTAGAGCTAGAAGGAGCCTGAGAAATTACCTAGTATAAAGCCCTCATGGAAGAATTCTAAAGCCCAAAGTAATTAGTTGACTCACCTGTATTAACTTGATGAAATACTAATTTAAAAATAAAGCACATTCATTTTCTTTAGATATTGGGTCATTTATACAGAGATAGAAATTTCAGAGTATGTATAAAACCACAAGCAAGCTTTCATTTGGCTTACGGCTTCCCAGCACCCAACTGTAAGATGGGGGAAGAATCCATAGATAAAGGGGAAAGAATGGATTCTAGGCCAGTTTCAGTGCAACCCAATAGAGGAGAAAAGGATAGTGGTATATATAGGGAGGCAGAATTTTCCCAACAACTATAGGTTCTCAAAGAGGTGGGTTATTTTGACGTGACCAGGAGAGAAGGACAAAACTTTAAAAGAGGATCATGGCAGGAGCATCAGCTGAATGAGCTGGCCCTGCCTGTTACTTCCCACCATCCCAGTGAGCTGGCACATGGGCCTTCCTTACAAACCCCCCAGGCTAGACTCCTGCCCCTTAACTGCAGTGGCAGGCCCCTAGGGAGAAAGATAGCTAATAACATAAAAGGAGGCCAGACAGTTAAGGTCTGAAGCACTTCATGCAAAGATAACACTGATCCTTTAAAACAACGAATGTAAAATCAATCACAACACTTTATATTTTAAACATACATCAGTGCCAAAAGTTCACAATGCTCTGTTATTGTGAATTTTCATCAGTTCACTTTATCTCAGGCTTACAGTCCTTAGTCTCAGAATCAGTCTGGTGGCCAAAGAATGTTTTCTTATAAAGAAGTTTTGGCTAAGAAGGGCCTATGATGTGTGTGTCCCAGAAACTCCACTCCAAGACATTGCCTAAAGTCGAGAGCTACTTGAAAGTAGTCAGTATTCAAATCCCGACTATCTCATCCTAGGTTATTTGCACTTTCCACTTCATCAATTTATGTGTTCTTTACAAATGCCAAAAGTGTGAAATACCGATTCAATTCCAAGTGACAGTTCACCTTACATCTCTTCCTATCAGTTTTACAATTCCTTATAGACATCTAGCACACAGCTTTACAAAACCTCTGTGTTTCTGTCCTTCTTTCACATCTGATGCTTACCTTGTTGATTGACGTGATACTGTTAAAGAATGATGGCATTGTTATATGGTCCTGTTAATCCCGATTCATCCACTGACCATATGGGAACCTTTCTGAACTTCAGTTTACTCATCTGTAAAATGGGATAATGATACCTAAGAGTGCTGTTTTAAAAATTACATGAGATTGTTAAGAGAACAGCTAATAGAGTATCCACAGTGAGTGCCCCAAAATGGTAACCCCATTTCTTACTTCTTAGCATGACTGTCATTTGTTGATCACACTAGGCTTTCCTGCCTCTCTCAGAGAAAAGGGGTAAAAAACAGGGCCCCCCTTTTGTTTATGCCTTTAACTTATTTTTCAGATTCTTCTGCAGGATTAAAAAGTCTCTTTCTCATTGCACTGCCATGCTCCACTCTTCGTCCTCTTTCCAATGTACTCATTCTTGAAGCATTTTCTCATCTCCAGACCTAGATCATTGCAATGACCAAAAAATTTCAGAAAGCTGTGCCCACTTGCGGCCACACCAGGCAGCTGAAGCGGTATTCACCAGCGAAGACTCCCCACTCGAAGGCCTGGGGCTGTATGCCAGAACCCAGCCAGCTCTAGGGTGCGAGGCCACGGTGCCCTCCACAGTTCACCCCGCTTGACCAACCCCTGCCACTGGTGCCTTCTGAGGTGCATGAGGGGCCCCCTTTTTTTTACGTAGGTTTCATTGTTATTATTCAGATATGGTGAGGCAAACAGTTTGGAGATGATTGCCACTGAAAACTTAGTTTGTTACTCATAATTTTCCAGAGGAGGGAACATACCATGCCAGCAGGGCCACAAAGGGAAGCACCAGGTTCTTTCAGGAGGTGGAGGGTGGGGGAGTGGGCAAGAGTTGTTACTGTGGTTTCCATGGAAAGGACCAGGCAGGGCAGGATAAGCAGGTTTAGGCCTGGCTAGTTTGAATAATCGCAGCAGGTTCTGGTGTCTAGGGACTGTCCCTGGTTGTCTGGTACCTGATCCTAGGATGATTAGGACAAGGATATACTGGCCCTGAGTGTGAGGGCCCAGTAGAAAAGGTGAAGGCGGTGGGGTGTGTGGCTCTGGACTGGTTAGTTTGCATGTGAAAGACATGCAGAGGGTGAGGGGAGTAGCTTACTGTCTCTAGGAATAGGATAGCCCTGGGAGGGGCAGTTCCTCCAGGGTCCACAAGGCCCCCAAAGATCAAAGGACTAGAAATATAGAAAATAAAAGGGCATGATTAATGCACCATTCTAGAGGAGGTTTACATGGGTCACTAACAGCAATTTCCATCATTCAGGTTAGGACATTTTTTTCATTTTGCTTTGATCTATTTTTTTCTCTGCTAATGTATTTGATTTTAAAAAAATGGGAAACAGAAAGGTCTGGTCATCTCTTATCTGCAATAATGAGTATTTAGTTAATATTTTCATAAGGAATTGGCCTGTTTCTTTCACAACTTCTGTACAGATTCTTATAGTTTCAGAGTTTCTTCCAACAGTTTGCATCATTTGAGGAAAAAAATCCAACAATGATTGAGACTTATGGTCCTAAAATTTTAAAAGTGTTTTGTTTAGATTAATTTGATTTTCTTTGTTTTTCTGTCTTTTCACTCCCCTTTTCTTTCTTTTTAATCTATCTTTCTTGCTTAATTATTTTTTTTTCATTCACTGAGTTATCAAAGCAACTTCAAGATTACATCAGGAATATTGGATCAAGTTCACATTCCTTAGGTGTATCAAAGTAAAATACTTCAAGTCAGCTCTGGTCTTACAGAACAATATGCCAAACAAGACAGTGTCAAAAATAATAGGTCATTTATCTTATTGATAGATGGGAGGAAAATGCCACACTACTACTTGTTTCATCTTATATCTTAGGTAGAAAGTCCTGGAATGTTATCATTTTGAATGATAATAAATAAATATGTTCATATTTATTAGCAAGTTTATTGATTGGAATAATATCCTTCACAATTTCTAGGTTACTTTTCCAGTTCGATATACAAGTGTGAAAAGATGATTGCACCCATCATAATGAGAAAATATTTAGATAAACTTATAGAAAAATATACTTGTTGAGCTATTGAAGAGCTGCAAAGAAAAGACTAAGTGAACTTAATTCTAGAGGCAAGCACAGATGGGTGGCTGCTTCTCTCAATTCCATCACTGAGAGAAATTGCTAAGTCTGTGAAATGGGTGGGCAAAGAAGCAAGCCTGCCTGACACAGAAGAGTTTAAAGGGGACAAAGAGAAACAAACCAAACTTCCCTTGTTGTGAGTGGGTGAGGTGGTGGATTTGAAGCTGGAGTGAGCCCAGACTCACAGCTAGTTCTCCCTATGCAGCTGTTGTCCCCCATAGGAGTTTTCCTGGATATGTTTCCCGGGTGGTTCCCGGCAGCTGGCCATGGAACTAAAAGTAGAAAGAGATCTCATTTTTCCCCAATGTTTATAAAACACTCCTTTAAGAGAAGCCTGAAACCAGCCTAAAGGCATTTAAAATCAGAGTGATGCCAGCGCCAGCTCAGCTCAGTTCCTTATTAGGTTGAAGGGAGCCAGCTACCCCTGACCGTATTCACCTGGCAGGCAAAAGAACAAAATACTTCTGAGGGAAGTTAGCATTTGCTTCGATCTCTATTGCTCTGTTGAATAAAATATCTGATATAAAATAAAAGATTATGAGACATTCAAGAAATAGAACCGTGTAACCCATCATGAAAGAAAAAAACGTAAAAGCCCATCTATACCTGATCTACTTTCCATCTCTATGGAATTTGCATATTCTGGACATTTAATATAAGTGGATTTACATAGCATGCAGCTTTTGGATCTGGTTTCTTTCACTTAGTATAATATTTTCAAGATTTATCCGTGTATTATTTATGACAACTATAAGTTCTCAAAGAGGTGGGTTATTTTGATGTGACCAGGAGAGAAGGACAAAACTTTAAAAGAGGATCATGGCAGGAGCATCAGCTGAATGAGCTGGCCCTGCCTGTTACCTCCCACCATCCCAGTGAGCTGGCACATGGGCCTTCCTTACAAACCCCCCAGGCTAGACTCCTGCCCCTTAACTGCAGTGGCAGGCCCCTAGGGAGAAAGATAGCTAATAACATAAAAGGAGGCCAGACAGTTAAGGTCTGAAGCACTTCATGCAAAGATAACACTGATCCTTTAAAACAACGAATGTAAAATCAATCACAACACATCTCAGTCTTATAGCTGAATATTATTCCTGTGACAATAGATATGTGTATTTTGTTTATACATTCCTTAACTGATGAACATTTGATTTGTTTCCACATTTTGGCAATTTTAAATAACAGAACGGCATGGGAGGCAATTAGGAATGATTACTAATGGGTAGAGGTTTTCTGAATTAAAAGGAAGTTCTAAAATTAGTGGTGATGGTTATAGAACTTTGTGATAATGCAACATCATTGTATCGTACACTTTAAAAAGAAGAATTTATGTTACATGAATTATATCAGTTAAAAAAAAGCAGACATGTAGATGGACTCAGATTTTGGAACTAGATTTTAAAAACTTTAAATTCACCATTATGAATGTGGGAAAGTGAATACAAAGATTGAGAACTATGGCAGAAGAATAGAAACTCTAAAACACAACCAAATAGAAATTCTATAAATCAAAATTTGAGCATCAGAAATAATTCACTGACTGGACTAAATCGTCAATTGGTCACAACAGAAGAAAACTTTAGTGAATTCTAACATAAATCAATAGAAATCATCCAAACTACAGCATAAAAAGAAATAATTTTTGACCAAGCAGAACTGAAATCAGAGATTTTTCAGGACAATTTCAGGCAGTATGATATACATGTAATTGTAGTTTCAGAAGGAATAAAGAGAATAGGGCAATTGAAATGTTTAAAGAAATAATTAGCATGAATTTTCCAAAAGCATTTAAAGGCATTTAATTCTTAGATACAAGAAAATTAGTGAACCCCAAACAGGATAACTACAAGTAAAACTATATCTTGGCATACCATTGTCAAAAATTATGAAAATAAAACATAAAGAGAGAATCTTAAAAGTGGCCAGGAAAAAAAAAGACATTGTTTTCAGGTGAACATCTATAACCAAATTGAATACTAATTAAAAAAAATAAAGTGAGAGGACAGTGGAATGGTTTCCTTAGAATGATTAAAGAGAAAAAAAAAGCTACCAACTTAGAATTCTATGTGCAGTGAAAATATCCTCAAGTAGAAGGGAAATACAAAGATATTTTCAGAAAAACAAGAATGTAAGATTTCATTATCAGCAGACCGCACTACAAAAATCATTAAAGTTATTCAGGCTTAATAAAATTGATCCTAGATGGTAGCCCATATGTACACAAAGAGGAGAGATCCTTGAAGGGGTAAAAATATGGTGATTTCAAAATATTATGGTTTAAAATACCTTTAATGCTTTAAAGCATGGGTTGGCAGTCTTCTGTACAGGGTGAGATAGTAAATATTTTAGACTTTTTAGGCCCTATAATCTCTGTGACAAATACTCAACTCTGCTGTTGGAAAGTGAAAGCAGCCTATGTATAAATGAACTAACAAAGGAATGGTCATGGCTATGTTCCAATAAATTTTATTCATGAAAACAGCTATGTCATTGTAATAGCTTAAAAACATAAAATACTGGGGATAGATGACCAAAGATGTATAAGACCTATACACTGAAAATTACAAAGCATTGCTGAGAGAAATGAAAGAAGACCTAAATAAATGGAGCAGTATATCGTATTAATGGATCAAAAGATTCAATATTGCTAAGATGTTAATAATCTTCAAATTCACCTATAAATGTATTGCAATTCCAATCAAAATGCCAGCAGATTTTATTTCATAGAAACTAACAACCATTTCCTCAGTTTTATATGAAATACAAAAGACCTGGATAAGCCAAAATAACTTCAAAACACAGAAGAAAATTTGAGGGATAGTACTACTACCTGATTTCATGGATAATCATAAAGGTACAATAATCACCCAGTGTTTTATGGCCATGAAGATGAACCAATAAAACAATTAAACAGAATAGAGAGTCCAGAAATGTATCCCTTCCTATATGGTCATTTGATTTTTGATGAAGGTGCCGAGACAGTTA